GCCGGGCAGGCGCTTGCGTGGCAACGTGTCCCGAGTTTAGCCAGGGCGCGTGGCAGGAGGCTGCAGATGCAGCTGGCCTCTGTACTGCGCCCCAGCTACGCCTGCAAGGGGAATTTGGAAACCTCTGCAGCGCCTAGCGGGGCAAATAACCCCGCTTCGACTCGCGTGCTCCTTTTAGCCTGGTTTCTGCTGGCTATAAACCTAGGTGACCATACTGGGTGCCGGGCCGTGACACCCCTCCACCCCCCAACAATTTTTTAACCTGTTTGCAGCTCCAGGTGGGATCTGGACATCCTCCAGATACTCGGGCGTCTAAAAATGTCCTGACACAAGGCACGCGGGTGGAAGAGCGATGCTAGGTAAACCTCCGCCAGGGAAAAGGCTGCAGGGAGCTGAGCCTGTACCAGGCACCAGTAGGGCCCGACAGCAGAGTCCTTGCATGTGCCCTGTCCAGGGGAAAAGCTCCCCCGGGATTTGCAAGGGCCAGGAGAAGCCGTAGGTTGCCTTAATTCCAGCACTCAGGGGACCGTCTGCTTTGAGCAGGGAGTCGGACTGAGCCAGGAACTGGTTAAAACTGCTTTTTTTCCTGAATCAGAATTGAACCTGATCTGCTCGTTCCACTGAATTTGAGCAGGGGCCAAACTGAACCAGAATAACTTGAGCCGCAGCCGGATTCAACCTGGAAGAAACCCAAAATCCTGGCCTGACTCCCCAGCCCTCCCACGCTGCTTCCTCGCACATGCCACACGCGTGGCCGGGACTGCGCGGTCCCAGCGGCAGGTCCCCTTCGGTCCAAAGCAGCGAGGTTTAGCTTTGTGCAAATCCACAAAGAGCGAATCCAGGCTCTCCATCCTCCCCGGCTGACTCCGCGGGGCTGAGCATATCCAACATAAATACATTAGAGAATTAATGCCTTCTGCTCATCGGCTTTATCCTTGCCAATTAATAACAGTCCAGCAGAACTCACCCGCACAGAGACAATTATTATCTCGCTGTCCAGGATTCGGAGCTGAGCTCTAGTGTAACCCCAGGGAAAAAAATGCCTCACATTCGCTCTCTAGGAGGAGCTCCAACTCTGCTGTTCCTCACTGCACAAGGATGGCAGCCTGCTCGGCTCCTCACAGCACTCCCGGGAGGGGATTTCTGTCTCCAAGTGGCTTTTCAAACCATCCTCAGCCCTCATATGTGGTCCACTAGATGGGTCTCTCCAGGTGCATTGGGCCACATAGGGAAAGGGAGTCCTTTGCACCCCACGCCGCAGCCTCGGCGAGCCGCCTCTTGCTGCAGCACCGTCTCCTGTACCCAAACAGCCTTGAAAAGAGGTTGTCCAGTCCTGCCTGTGCTGATACCCGAGTGGCCTGGGACTGGGAGAAAGTTGAGTTTTCCCAGCCAAAGAAAAGCTGAATTTTCCCAGCCTTGCGTGTCAGCCCCTGGTACAAGCGGTGGGATGCAGGCATCTCCAGATGTTTGCAGGAGCGAGTAAGAGTGGGGATAAATGGTTGGTTGGGAGATTGGTTTTGCATGCTCCGTCTGTGCTCGTGCTGGGCACCAGCCCAGTGCTGGGCTGCCAGACTCAGACAAGACGTTGCCTTCCGCCCCCTTCATCCTCAGCAGGACACATGATGCTAATGGTCCCTCTTGGCCTTAGCACCGCTTGGCAGGCCCCTGCTCATCAGGTCCTCCCTCAGCTCCTGGCCGGGGCAAACTGCATTGCTGGCAGCACGCAGCCCTACTGCCCCAGGTCCTGCAGGCTTGGACTGGGGCTGAGCTGCTGTCCAGCATCAAATTGCCAGTGATATCCCAGAGTCTGATGGCCCTTGATGGCCCTGTAAGGCTGTTGTCCCATGGCGGTCCGCTGGGGACAGGGACTACACCCTCACTGCCCATCTCAGCAAGTCACAGGCTGGGAAGGGAAGCCAGGAGCTTTGCGAGCAGGTACAAATCCTCTCCCAGAATAGGGAAGCAGCCCAGTCATCCATGTCCTGCCCAGCCCGGTGCTTCCCTGAACCCCCAGACAGAGGTTTCACAACCATTCACTATTTTCTGTCAGTTCAGCGACTAAACTGCCTCACGGAGGACCAGACCTGGCACAAGGGAAGCAGCAAGCAGAGGTCTCGGCCGTCGGTGAGATGCCACCCCAGGTGGGAGAGGCCCTTGTCCTGCACTGCCTCCCCGCAGAGCCGGCAGCAGCCACCAGGCTCCTGCCTTGGCCACTGCTCCACGGGATGGATCCAGCCCTGCTCCCTCCACTGACCCGGGGGGACCAATTCCCCGGCATGGTTCCCTGTCATGGTACACCCACGTACATTCAAGAAGCAGAAATAATGTATTGCCTTCTAGCTAAGGATCAAAAAGCGTGGCTTTGTGTCTACTACTGCTGGGGGTTTAAATGCTGTGCCCAGCTGTAGCCAGCTGTGCCCAGTGCTGTGGGGACAACACACCTGGGCACTGCCCCTCACCTCCAGGCCCTCCCCTCCAGACCAGGTCTGATATTTCAGCTGGGTGCGGGTAAAGGGTCTGCAAACGCATGTGAGCAGGTGAAGGCAGTGTGAGTAGCTCTACCCAGGCAAAGCCTCCTGCAGACCTTCCCTTGACATAAAACTTAGAAGTGCCGTCAGTCAGGGTGAAACGCTGTCAGCTGGGGCGGTGAAGCGTGACGAATAAAGGGTCTTTGTCCTACAGAGATGTTTGGCTCGTCTCCAGTCACTGTGGTGATCACGTCTGAGGCTGACACTTGGGATATCGATGCCTCCTCTTGTCTGGGCTGTGGACAGTTTGTGGATTGGGACAGGATGCCAGACCTGGAGCAACAAGCAAATATCCCCAGAGACATCCTCACCAAGCCCAAAAAAGAGCTGAAGAAGCTGGCAAGAGAAGGCTACTGGGCGACAAGCCGTGCACTGAGAGCTCGGGTTTACCACCAGCTCATCCAGCAGGTCACCTGCCGGCTCGTGACTCCAGATGCTCTAGTCTACACAGATGTAGCGAATCGGCTCTTTGGGAAGCAGAGTGTGAGCTCCCATCCTTTGCCAGACTTCCTTGAAGGATGCTCCATGCCCACGTACTGCCTAACCGTGGAAGGGGTCACTGCGTTGAAGAAGATCCTCATCTGCATTGACAACCTTTTCCCCGACATAACCTACAGCCCAATCCTCCCCTCTCTGGTGGCTCTGTTGCTGCACTACAGTGAAGAGGAAGCTCAATGTTTTGAGAACATCTCTCGCCTCATCGCCAGCAATGCCCCCCACACCAGCTACATTGACCAATCTTTCCTGGCCCACCAAGCCTCCTGCATGACTTTTGGGGATCTGGCCAACAAGCATTGCCCAGCAGCTCACAGACTGATAGCTAGCACGTCCGAGAATGTTTTTGAGGTCTACTCCGAATGGCTATCGTGGCTCTTCCATGACCTCCCCTTCAATTACGTCATCCGCATATTTGACGTCTACCTGCTGGAGGGGCAGAAGGTCCTCTACCGCATTGCTCTGGCCTTGCTGAAGCAGTACAGGCTCTCGGTGACCTCCACTGAGCTGGAGGGAATTGACATCAAGACAGATCTGCAAGCTTTCGTGCAGAACATTGGCGAGCACGTGACTGTCGACAAACTCTTAGAGAGAGCGTTTGGCATCAGGCTGTTCTCCCGCAAGGAAATCTGGCTTCTCCAGATGGCCAACAGGAAGGCATTAATGGAGAGAGGCATGACCATGGTGCAGAGCAGGTAAGAGGGCCTATCTGTCTGCCAGCATAGGCAGATGATGCTCTTGGGGCTAAGCGGCTAAATCAAGAGTTACAGTGGAGATAAACATGAGCGGAGCATCAGGGAGCTCCCTCGGCTTTGGCTATGCTAGGTGCCTTCTAGACACTCGTGTGGTTAAGGGGTACCATACTATTAGGGATAACAACGCTAAAAGAAAGCTCACAGTGCAGCAGGCACAAGGAAACCTGTTTTCTGGGGCCTGCACCCATAAAAGCCCACATGGCCCCCAGGCACCCTGGCTCGGCAGTAACAGACATCCTCCCTCATGCAGGCAGTCCTTCCACCTGGCTGTGGACATGCAGAATTTCAGCTCCAGCATTGTAACGGCGCAGGAGATGCGCATCATCTGGTCCTGGATCCCCGAGCGGTTCTCCCTCTTCCCCCCGCTGCTGCTCTTCTCCACCTCAGAAGATGGGTGCAGCTTGCAGAGGTAAAGCGCTCTCCATGGATCGGGTCGGGTTAGATTGGGTAAAGGCTGGCACACTGGTGGTGTAGAAAGGAGCCCTTGCAACACGTGGTGTTTGTAGGGTGTGTTTGAGGTCTCCTGGGGACTCTGCTGGCTGCAGCAGGGATCCCCACATCCACCTGCTGCCACTAAAGGAACAAAAAACCTTTCCCTCGAGATCACGAGCCTGGGAGTAGCCCAGCTCCTTGCCAGCACGGCCAGCAGCCTCCGCGCTGGCCCTGCTGCATCTTGCCCCCTATCCTGACGTCCCCGCGTGCCGCACTGTGCCAGGCAATCAGCTAGGCCCAGCCAGGTTGTGGTCCTCAATGCTCCTGCCCCCTCAGGGCAGCACAGAGGCAAGGGCAGGTGCTGCTCAGTGCTGTGATTCAAAACTGAGCTGAAAAACGAGTTTTCCATTGATTTCCCAATCCATGGAGCAGCAAAACTCTTCCAGTGAGCAGATGTTACCTTTGCATGACTGTTTTCAGGCAGGTAACCCAAATCTGCTCCTCATAAGGAGCATGTTAAGCTAAGAAGTAGCATGGGCAGGGCAGGCAGAGCTCAGATGTCGGGGCAGACAGTGCCTGGGTACATCCTGCAGCAGGGAGAAATCACACCCTCTGAACTCAAGTTAAGAAAGCCCAAGTGTCATCATCAATGTCCAAACCTGCAAAAGAAAGATCAGCCTCAGCGCTGGAGCTTGTCTGGCTACCCCGGAGGGCACTTCCCTTTCTCTGCTTACCCCAGTGTCCTGCTGGTTGTCACCTCCCAACTCCCCACTTTCAGCAAGTGTTCTCCCCCCTTGCCTGGATGGGACACGCGCTGCCCCAGGACTGCCCTCTGGAGCCACAGGCTGGCATAGCTGCCAGTCCTGGTGGCTCCCACCTGAAAAGCCACCACGGACGCTTCATCAGCCTTGCCCAGCATGCACAGGATGAGTGCTTGCTCCCCTCTGGCCCCGCTGACGTCCAGGTGCTGCCTGAGTTTGGGAAGCTGAGCCTAGGCAATACTTTCCTATGCCACTCCGCACAGGAGTGCACAATTGTGGGGGAGGCAATGCAAGAGGCAGCCGTGGGGCCAGCTACTCTCCACCTCGAGCCCTCAAGTGGTCTTTCACAACCCTTCCCTCCTCCCCAGCAACCCAGTCACATTCACTCCCAACTCCCTGGCAGCTGGAGTACATGATATATTCTACCTTGCAGTCTTGAGAGGGTCCTTTAATGGTCAAGACCCATTTCGTACCTTGGTGTTGCTCCCCGTGTCCCCTCGCTATCTGGGCAGGAGGGACATTTCCTCCACGGGGATGCGATGAACATGGGAGTGGTGAGTGGCGGAGGCCAGACGTAACAGTGAATGATTCAAAGGGAGGCTGGGCACCCCTCTCTGCAGCAGGCAGGATTCATCCCTCTTCTCTCATCCTAGCCACGCTGGCGGAGAATAGGAGCGTCTGTATTGAATCGAGCCCAACTGCAGTGAAATGCTGGGGGCAGACCCAGCCCCTGCCTATCTGATGCTCCTCTCTAGTGCAGGTGCTGTTTTAGCTCTGTCAAACCCCACTCAAAGAGCACTTTCAGATCAGTCTGCCAAGTCCATGGTGTCTCCACATCAGCATAAAAGGCCACCCAGAGCTCTTGAAGCAGGAGCAGGGGCTGATCCTGGCACCCAGGACCACAGGGCACCATGCAACGGCCCTGTGACATCCACTGCCACAGCCATGGAGCAATGAGCACAGAAGCAAGCAGAAATGTCCCTGCAATGCTCAGTGTCAGGGCATTTCTCTATTTAAAGCACTCACTGGTGAGCTGGGAAAAGACGCTCGGACTGTCTGGGAACTGGACGCTGCCTGTGCCACTGCACATCCCTGGTTCTCAGGGTGGATTCGATGATTGGGCTGGTGGGACAGTAGTCCTCTAATAGCACCAAGAATGTGCCCCGCTAGCCCATGAGAGAGAAGCGGCTGCCCCATGGCAAGGTGTCCCTGCCACATCCTGGCCAAACACAGCCATATTCTCCTGCGTTGCCTTCCAGGAGGCAGCAACGAGGCACAGAGCCCAGGCGCTTGGAGGGTGGGAGTCAGGCAGGGTCCTGGGTTCCCAGCAGTTAAGAAATGCATCCAGATTGAAAGAAAGCTTGCTTGATAAACTCCCCCCATCAAGTATCCCCACCCCAGCCCGGTGCAGAGGGTAGGACAGGAGGATTTTATGTTTGGATTTATCTGAGAAATTACCAGCTTCACCGAGCAAAAATGATGACTTGAGAAGGCCCATAATAAGCTGACTCCCCCACTTACTGCACAAACACCAGAGCTGCCCGAGCTAAATGATTAAGTGTTTCTGCCACTATACTTTTACGAGCTCACTCAGGCAGACTGCTCAACATAACAATCATCCCAGAAAAGCAGCAACTGGTCTTAGCTATCCTTTACAGCTTCATGTCACACACAGCGTGCAAAACAGGTTATTTCAATCCCTAACCAAAGAGCACCAACTTTCTCCCCACCAGTTTAAGCTAGACTGGAGGATTTCCACTCCAGATAAGGGCGGCCCTGGGTTGAAAATGCCCTGCAACACAGATCCTGCACCCTCTGGTACCCCAGCCTGGGCTGCGGGGAACGCTGCTCGAGCCCGGGGGATGCATCACTGGGAAAGAGAGAGCTGGTCCTATGCAGAAGTGAATAGGAGATCCCCCATCCCCTGTCCATGGCCAGCGGAAGATGCATTGCCAGCCTGCCTGGGGTTGTGATCCTCCCCACTACGTGATGGAGCAGCTCATACTTGGGCCACTAAGCACAAATGAGCCCAATCGGGTGACAAATTCCCTGTGTCACACCATTAGCACAGCCAAGGCCACTACTGATGCTGCCAGGAAGACAGCAGACTCAGACATGCCTGGACACAGACAAGTCCTCCGTGTCACCTTGGTCACAGGCTGATGCCCGGCAGGCCGTGCTTCTACCAAGGCGAGTTAGAAATGCTGCCGCCACGTCTGCGAGGCAGCGATTCCCACTCCAGGAGCACCTCGCGATGCTTTGGCCCGACCGACTCTTGGCAACCCTCAGCATTTCCTGCACTCAATTTCTAATTGCAAACAGTGCCAGATCCCCACACAGATCCCTCTGCAGATCCCCATCCCTGCAGCCACCCCACCGGACAGACTGATGAAATCACGTGGGCAAGGGTAGGCGCTAGGCAACACTCACTTTCCTTGCAGAACTTTGCCCATACAGTCACTGCTAATTCACACCTCTCCTACAGTGGACATTTCACGGCCACAGGAGTTGTTTTAACCCCTGTGAGAGCTCTTTCCTTCCCTTATGCCTGCCCAACCAGCACCTAGCTCCAGGCAAACCTGACTGCTTGGTTTTCTCCATATCTGAAGGACATATAAGCCATCTATAGGCTATTTTGTGATGGGCCCCTGGCCCCAGCTCCAGGTGAGGAGCTTGCCGAACGCCTGGGCTCCGCGCAACGTGCTGCGCTGGTCTCAGAGTCGCACCTACTCAGTCTCCTTGCTCATCTCCGCAGGTTTTACTCGTGCTGTGAAGGTTATGAACCGACGGTGCTGCTCATAAAAACAACAGAGCAGGAAGTAAGTATTTCCCAAGCAGAGAAGGGGGCTGGGAGCGTGGGTGCCAGCACGGGGAAGGGATGCCTGTCCCCATCAGCACTTCTTGGAGCAGCGGCAGAGCGGCCGAGGTCCTCCTCCCGCCCACGCTGCCGCTCTGTCCGCCCCAGAGTCTGCCTCAGTTTCTAGGAGACACCAAAACACACACACAGCCACAGTGCGTGTTCACGCTGGCTTCCTGACGGCCCTTAGAGCCCAACCGTAAATCCAGCCAGCTCCAGACGACAGAAGCCCCGTGTGCAGCAGCCAGCGCAGTGGCAGAAGGGGAACAGGCAGCTCGACTGCTTTTGCAAGGGGACACCAGCCCACTCCCAAACTCTGCTGCACCCAGGGCACACAGTAGCACACCTAAAGGGCACTAATGGGGCTAAGCAGAGGGAGGACAGAGAGATGGAGAAAGGCTATGAGAGATACTTTCTTTGCTGCAAATATAGATTAGAGCCTAAAGTCTTTACTCAGCAGACTTGCCTGAAGCCAGCAGATGCTTTGCCTGAGCAAGGTCTTGCTTTAAGGTCTTGCTTTAAATATATTAAATGCAAGGATCTCTCCTTGATTTCAAAAGCAGCCACACAAGGGAAATGGAAGGGAAATAAGGACAGCTTCTACAATACCTGAAAGTCATGAAATAACTGCAAAAATACCCAAGTCAGGCCTCTTTCCGGGGGCTCTGAGAGCGGCTCATAAACCCATATTGTATCTCTCCACTCTTTATCAAATGGCAGAAGCAAGTTCTGTAAATTGTTCAGGCATCCTAAAGATTTATTGGCCTACAAGTCCTGATTTCCCCAGGCCTGACACTTCACCATGGCAAGAAGATAAACACTCTGCCACCCTCCAAGGCTTTGCACATGCTACGAAAGGTGACTTACAAAACCCCACTACCTAAACCTTTTAGCTCATTTTATTCCTTATTTAGTACCAAGGACAGATTTGATTTCCCGCCCTTCAGTAGGTCTCCTCCAGGCCTGGTCAAAGGAAGGACATTCTCACTAGGGTCGGCCTGACCGCAGATGGAGGAACTGGCCAAAGTATCTGGAGAGTGATGTCCAATCCTCTCCCTGGGACCGCTTAAAACCCCTGTAGGTAACAAAGATGTGTTACCTGAGTCTACCATTTTTTAATGCCTTTTTCCTAGAGACTCATAAGACAAGCGACCACATCTCCAGCAGATGTGCGCACAGCTGGGGACAAGCGACTCCTAGACCTCCTAGAACCTTAGACCTCAGTGTAGAGCATGTTTCAAGAATGAAATATAATAGCGTTAAAATAACCCCTTGAGCCCCACAGTTATTTCTCTCCATGACTGCAAGTCAGATTTTGGATGTTCAGAGCCAGGGCCCATCTTCGGCCTCAAGGCACAGGTTCCTCCCATGCAGCCCAAATAGGATGGCCTCATCCTGCCCACGCAATACGCTATTGTCCTCATGCCCAGACACTGCCTGGAGCTCACCTGCGCCAGGGGACAAGCCTGCACTGCACTGCACTGAGCCCTGCTTAGTGAGCTAGGAAGTGCCTTGGTTCAACTCCAAAATAGTGAAATGCCACTAACCCACTCGGTCAATAAAGCCAAGTAATGGCCCTAGACACATGCACAGAGTAGTGGTGTGGGGACAGGCTGTTTCTGTCTAAACTCTTCTCAATGCAAGATTTTGCTTGCATGGCAAAATTTAGCTCCCGGATCCCCCAAAGGGCCGGAGCATCTGCAGCTTGCTGTGGTTCAGGCCTTCTCCCCCTGCTGATTCCCCAGCAGCTGCTCACTGCTCCCTGTGCTCTCTCCCAAAGGTGTGCGGGGCATTTCTCTCCTCCGACTGGAGCGAAAGGAGAAAGAGTGGGGCAACATCAGGCTTTTTTGGGACAGGAGAGTGCTTCGTATTCACTGTAAGTCACGTTTTATTTAGGGGCTTATACTTAGGGGCTTGTCTGTGATTACTCTTCCCTTTGCCCTTCTGACAGCTCAGAGCACGGCGGTTGCAGGCATTGAGCCGCTTCCTTTGGCCGGGCCAACCACTTCCCCAAGCTCTGGCAGGAGGCAGCAGCCACAGACATCGCTGTGCTGGATCAGAAAAAAAGGAGAACTAACTCCTGTCTCGGGTCAGCCCGTATGGCCTAAGCCCCTGGGGCAGTGTGTAATTACTCTGGACAGGCCTTGGAGCATCCTACAGGGGTAACTCTGCGAGCAGGGAGGGTTTCTGCCTTGTTTGCATGGAGCAGCTCCTGCATGAAACAATCCTCAAACAGCCCTGGGGTTCCCGCAGAGGGAAGGAGTAGGTCTGTTTGAAAAATCCTGGGGACAAAGTCCAGCATGCATCCACCATCCCTCCGGCATCCATCCGGCAGTGTGGGTGGTGCAGGTTTCCCTGATGCCAGCAGTGCCTGGTGTGGACAAACCAACCTCTTGGCCACCACCTCCACCAGAGTAGTCCTGGTACTGCCAAGAGGCCTTGTCCCTTCTCTGCCCCAGGAGCAGGCCTGGCGCGTAGCATTTGGCCTCTGACTCGCCTTGCCATGCAGTGCCAGCTTTCTTGAGCAAGAGAGAGGACAGGCCTCACCACGTTTCTCCTGCTCTCCAGGTGCGTCCTGAGATGGAGAGGTACGAGTGGGTGTTCATCAAGAAGCCAGAGTTGGCCAAAGCGGTGCCGCGCTCGCGCCAGCGCTCTCCTTCTCCCTCTCCCACCTCCCTCCTCAGCTCTTCTCCGGACGGCCGCCGCGCCAGCTCCAACCTCCTCACCGTGCCTACCCCGCAGAGGACAAAAGGTCGCCTCTCTCCCTTTCTGGCCATCAGGCATTTCCTCCTGCCTTCCAAAACAGCCTCCATGTTCATGTCCGGGTCTCAGGAAGGAATCATTATTGGTAAGTCTCTAACAGCAGGCACCCTCACACGCTCCCACGCTCCTTGCATGCTCCCCGACACCTTACTGCTTCGGCTGGAAAGGGCTTCGCTCCAGATCAGAATCTGATCTGCCTTGATGTCCCCTTGCATGCAAAGACCTCCTGTCTTGAGTTAAGTAACTGAAATTCAGGGGAGATGAAATCAGCCTCCTCTTTCTGTCAAGGATGCCCCTTCTGCGAGGCCCAGAGAGCAGCTCTCTGCTAGCCCACGGGGAGCACCGCAGCCCAAGCCTTCCCACGGGGTTTACACCCTCAGAGCTGCTATGTCTCTGCCCTGCAAGTGTGGCCATATGGCTCCTCCATGGCCAACTTTGGCTTTTTCCTCCATCCCATGCCTCCCCACAGTGCATGGGCAGCCCCAAGATGGGGACCGAGAGGAAATGCAGGTGGGGAACAGACCAAGGAAGGGCCAGGCGTGGTCACCTGGAGCAGAAACGCCAGCCCCATGCCCCCACTGCTGTCTGCTGTGTCAGACAGGGGCCCGGAGGTTAAATCTTTATGCTTCCCCGTGCATCAGGCTCTGCCTCTGCCTCTTTCCCAGCCCTCCAGAGCGGGGAGCCAGGGCAAGCCCTAGCTGTGGGGATGCAGCAGCCTTTTCTTGTTCTCTGGCTTTCTAACAAGTTTAATAATTTAGCTCGTGCTGCCAGGGCAACGTCTCATCCGCCTGCCTTGTACCAGCTGCCCTGCAGATAACTCTCTAGAAGCTCTGCTTCCACACTGATATCCAAATGAGCCTAAAGGGGAGCTCGGGGCATTCTCACTCCAGCTCCGGGGGGTGGCCAGGGGAAATAAAGCAGAGATGGGGGCAATCCTTAGTGACCTCGTCAGCTGGGCTGTTCTCTCTGCTTGGGCAGCGAGGAGGTGAGAGCGGATCCCAACCATCTGGCGTCCTTTTGCAGGTGGAGGGGGAGGCCGAGCTCTGACCCTCGATGCCGAGCTGCTCTGGGGGCACACGGAGAGCTGCGAGACGTTCGACAACCCTCCGCTCTGCCAGGAGAACTTCAAGGTGCAGCTCTTGGAAGCATGGGGCTTTCAAAACACCTAGGCACCACAGGGCTGGCCCCTCACCATGCCACCTGCGGAGATGACACCCCCCCCGCTGCAGCAGGGTCACCCTCCCTCACTGCTACAGCCTCTGCTGGCAGCACCATGGATGCCTCTGCGCTCTGCAGCCCTCTGCTAGCGGTCCTTCCCGTCCCTCCCCTCTGTCATTACCAGCAGCGATGGTCAGGATCAAGGGCGATGAAGTGCCGTGAACTGTACCGCAGGCACTGCCTTCAGGGGGGTTTGGGGAGTAGCTCAGGTCCTGGCCCTCCTCCCACAGTTCAAACCCAACTCGGTCCTCCAACCCTGTTCCACTTTAGGATGTTGGGGGAGAGGTGAGCTATTTTGGTGTTTTCTACACAGTTCTCTCACCTGTTTTGTCTTTCTGAGGTCTGCAGCAAACCTGTCATACAACAGAAAAGACAGGCTTCGTGGGAATGTTGAGTCTAGATGAAAATCGGCACCAAGGTAGAAAGTTCACCAGAAAGACTCACCATACCCAGCTTCACTGTAGTCACAAGCCTAGTGCCACCCTTTGAACCATAGTTAGAATTTTGTAGTTTATGTGGATTACTGAGATTCATTTGGGATGAGGCACTGGTCACCATCCAACACCAGGCAGGAGACTTTCTTATTGTTCTTGGTTGAAATTGCTGACCAATAATTAGCAAAGCTCCACTTGGTGTTATATTCATCTGCAGCCAACTAGCAAACTCCCTGACTGTGAACCTTCCTCGTCATGCTTGCATAAAACTGAAGATCTATATTCACAGCAAAGGGTTGATGCTGCAGGACTGCAAGCAGTTAACATATATAAGTCTAATCAACATGTCCTGATTACCCAGTGTCAAGATAACGGAAGATTTGCCATTTTAAAATATGAAATGTGAACATATAAAAGTTGCTAGTAGAGACAATGCAACCCCTGCGGCAGGACTGTGTATAAACTGCATAAAGATCATTCTGTTTGCAGAATGAAAACGTGTATATGCCACGTCCAAATACGTTTTCCATTTGTGGTTTTATCTTTCATGTATTCCACTTCTCAAGCTATTCAGAGCAGGAGTTATTGCTGCCTCGATGCACACAGTTCCGGAGATGCCAGGAGAACGTGGGGAGGAACAAGCACTGGTAGCAAACTCACGCAGTAGTCAGTTATGCAGCAGGCTTAGCAGTTACTTGTCTTCCAAACGTATCAAGGTGAGATAAAGAGATGAGGCCCGGGGTCTCTACTCCCCTGTGCCTGGCCTATGCTCACTGAGCTCAAATAGAAGAGTACAGCAGGATTACTCGTTTTTCTTCATTTAAAGAGCTCTACTAAGATATCCTCAGTATTTCTTTCTTTCTGTGGTCATGCACAGGACTCTCTGTCCAGCTGAAAATTTCCCAGGAGAGTCCCTCTTTCCTTCCCAGAGGCTGTTTGTCTTCTCCACCCAGAGATGCACAGGATGCACGAGATGCCTGGGAATGCAAAACGCCTCGTTAGCGATCCAGCCTGACCTCTCAGCAGCTGCTGGCTCAGGCTTCTGAGCGTTTCTGGGCAAGCAGGTCCCATCTAACGTGTTAAAATACGACATATTGCGATTGTATTGTTCAGGTCGTGGACGTCTTTGATGCGGTGGCAAAGCCCGCGAGTCCCTTTGATGCTCTATGTGCCATATACCTCAGCTATCCGCTGATTTGAGCTGTAAATCACGATGAACGTCAGTGCGCTTGTTACATTCGGTGCCTGTAATCTGATGAGTGTCTTTGCCATTTTTAAAAGCGATGCTACAGTACTTTCTTCTCTACGCTTTATTCCATTACCACATAAAGCTCAAAACTCTTAAAAAAAAAAAAAAGATTAAAAAAAAGAAGCAGCAAAACACATAAAGCAGAGAAAGCAGAGGGGCTTGGAGGCTCGGGGGACTGGTAACGGCGTACAAGGAGATCTTCCATCTCTGTCACGCCGTCACTTGACCGCACTAAGGTCAGCGGAGACCAAACTCTGCTGCTCTCCGA